GAAGTGGTGGGGGGTTGGGGGGTGAGAGAGGGAGAAGGAGGGGAAGCTCTACCACTTGTAATTGCATTTTCTTCTGTCTGGCTGACTTTTGCATTTTCAGTGCGGATGAGTCATTTGTTACTTCCCTTCAGTCTTAAAACACACACACACCTTTTCCCCTGTGCACAATCCCTACTCCCACACAGCGTTGCAGTCCCGAAAGCAAGACTTTGAGTTGCTAACTGGGCCCAGATGAGCCTGGGGTGGGTGGGTAGGGGTGGTTTATGAACAGCTGTCTGCATGGTGCTGCAGGATAGGTTCTGGCGGCAGGCTCTGGAGAGCAGATAAGACTTTTCTCTACCCAGCCCCTCTGTGAATTTTTTTTGGAACAACATAAGTTTCTGGAAATTCCCTACGGAAAAGACAAGTCTATTATAAAAACAATTAAAGGGAAACTGCCCAAAGAAAACTCACCAACATTGTCTAACAACTCTCAACTTTTGAATTAAAACACACAGAAGACTCAGAGTCCCACCTATCATCCAGATGTACACGGCTCCCCGGCTGTTCTGATCTGTAAAATGAAACATCCCCAAACTCTGGGATTTAACTCGCAGACACTACAAAACTTGCATCCACCATGCATTTGCCTCGTGAAATCCCCCAACCAATGAATGGGAATGCTGCCGCCCCAGGGAGGGCTCCAGAGAAACAACTGCTTTCTCCCGCGCTGGAGCGGGGAGTAGGAAAAGCTGCTTTTAGCGACACATTTGTCATTGCCTAGAGATACAGCAGCCACTGCCTGCTGACTGTGCTCCAAGAGGGACATCACCACGCCACTTGCGAAAATCCTGCCGGAGATAAAGTAAAAAAAACCCAAGAAATCACAGCTCTCCGCTCAATTCTGAAAACGCACCGCCCCAGGAAATAACTCCTTTTCTTTGCCCTGAGCCCTGTCTCCACTTATAAAACGCAGCCAGCGGCGAGGGACGCGCGTAACCGTAACTCCATCTTTGAATGAGTCTGTGACTTACCCCGCGTGTGTCTGCTGTCTGCTGGGTAAGGAAGGCACGGCTCACATTTCTGGCTTTCATTTTCTTCCATTGTCCCTGCCTACAGCACCAACTCCCCTCTGCTCTTTAAACTTCCCAGCGCAGGTCTGAAAGCTCTCCAACAGCGCCTGGAAGGGGATCCGGGGGTGTGGGGGAGGAGACGGTGCGAAACCCCACCCCAAACTATTCTCCACTCCCGTGCAAAGTCTCTCGGGCTGGAGAAAAGTGCATTCCTGCGCCGGGCCTCCCCGCGGCTCCGG